GCTTGAAGGCAGTAGTGAAGACCCAGGTGTGTGTACATTTTACTTGTAAGATGGCAAATTTTGCCAAAAAATTCCTTGTCCATAGCTCATCCAGCTGCCCTGGTAGCAATACTTGGTATAAGCTATTTGGCAGGTAAGGGTTCAGCAAGTGTAATCATTATGCTAGTCAAACCTGCCCAGATGAAAGCTGCACTAGGATATATAATTTTTGACATAGCCTAGAACAGGGGTGGGCAAAATACAGCCTGCAGGGTGGATCCAGCCCCCCAGGTGACTGGATCTGGCCTGTGGCTGCCCCTGCAGTGCTCCATGTAGGGCCATGCCTTGCCCACTTGTGCCAGGGCAGCCTGCACCAGGCTCCTGTCAGTGCTTGCCAGCCCAGCCCCCTGCCAGCATGCAGCTTCTGCCGCGGCTGTTCCCAGAGCTGGCTCCAGCTCCCAGCTGCCTTCCTAGGAGCTGGCGCTGGAGCCCTGTGTGCTGGGGCAGGGGCAGGGGCAGAAGCAGCTTCCAGCGGGCTGTTCCCAGGGTAGCTGCACCGTGCTGCACCATTCAGCAAGCACACTGGGCCTCCAGCTCCAGATCCCGGAACTGGAGGCAGGGGGCACAGAACTGCACCTGGCCAGGTTGTCGGCACCAGCAGGAGCGTGGCGCAGGCTACCCCAGCATGAGCAGGCAGGGCTTAGCTCCATGGACAGTGTGGACTGCACTGCCCAGGGCAGCTCTGTTGCATGTGCCACCCCCCCGACACCTCAGGCACAGCAGGCTCTGGGACCTAGTGCCCAGGCAGCCCCCCAACTCCACACACACACCTCCCCACCCAGAGGGCAGAGGCATGTGATCCCAGCCTCTCCCACCGCACCCACTCCACTCCTGAACACTGCTCCCACCCACCCACAGCCCCATACAGAGTTTTGGTGAGTTGTTGGGGGATGGGGAAGCAGGGGTGGTACTGATCCAGCCTGCAACAGCTGATCAGATCTCCCTATGTGGCCCTCGAGTCCAAATAACTGCCCACCTTGGCCTAGAAGGTACAGGGTGGAACATTTTGCCTTGCTTTGTGAAGTAAGAGAGAACCTACTTCTTTCACGGCTCTAATACCTCCATGTTGGCTTTCATTACTAGGGAGGGAACAAGATCAAGCCTGTAGGCCACAGCATTTAAATTCCTTTGTAGTTCAAGTCCTACAGGGATGGGCTGAATAAGCCAGTTGATTTGTCTGCATTTTAAATATTTCAATGTGCCCAGACAAAAAGCATACCACTGAAGTAATAGGCTTAATTACAATATACAGGTCGGTTCCAAATAGCACTCTCCTGTTCACAGAGGGCGTGGGAAAGCTGCAGGGGTTTGAATTCTGGTGCAATTTGCAGAAGTGGTCCAATATTGTAAGAAGTTTACATGTTGGTGGGTTTTTGCTCAAATATAGAGAGAAGCCCCAAGCTTCCTCCCCCCGGCAACAGCTCTACTACAGAGCCACACAGAGAGCCCGCCACACTCTACCCACAAACTGCCCCAACATTTCCCTGCCCCAAGGAGCCCTAGCTCTTAGCCCCATCCCCAGTACCAGCAACAGTCCCTGCCTCCATGCACCCTGCTATGCCTCTGGATATCCCATGACTTATCATGGCCACTGTCCAAGACAGGTTGTGCTTACCACAGTCTTTTCATATAGGCAGTCACTGGGAGATAAATTAAAGTGCTAGGAAAAATATCACAGGGAACAAAACAAAATCAAAAAGTTGAAACATGAAGGCAGAGGGTGGGAGTTGCAGTAGTAGGGCAGGCAGGACGTCTTCCTCAGCACTGACACCCTTAAGCAGCAATACATTCTCAGTATTTTTCCCCTTTTCATGTTGTATGCTATAAAGTTATGCTTCTCTTTGGGTTCTTTTAAAAGAACCTATTCATATTCTTTAACATGACAATGGTATGTGTGCATTAAAAAATATCAGCCAAGAAGACGCATAGTTTAGCTTAATAAAACAGATTCAGCATATTACCTGAGCTTTGCCTAGACTTTCTTTTAAAAAAAGAACATCCAGTTCAGCTTATGCTGTTATATTAAATAGGCCTGACAGACCAGGCAACAAATCACTATGCAAAGGAAGCCCATTAGAAGGGATGCTTCTGGTAAAAAGGAAGAAAAGATAAGCAATACATAAAGGAATTTTAATTCTTCTAATTACAATTAGAATAGTTATAGTGAAAATTCCACCCATGGTTCAGACAGGTGCTCTCACATCCAGTTACCACCACGGATACCTACCTCAGGGCCAAATTGTGCCAGCAGATAACTGATGAGGCTGAATGAGCTTGAGAAAGAGAAGACAAAATTGGCCCTCAAAACTCAAAGTGAAGCATTTAGCAGTACATTCAATATTCACTACATGGCAGGCAGATTCACTCATCATGCTCACTAAGAGAGAAACCAAAGCAGTTTTTAATAGCATGCTCCGTGCTATGGCAACTGCTGAAAGAGGATTACACTTGCTGCCATTCACTCTTGCCTTGCTGCCCTAGGTGACAAGGCATCTGCTTAGCAGGTGTGCTCTTACAGTTTATCATGTTAACAAAAAACTTAGTGCTGGAATCACAGACCATATACATTTTGTTAATGGGTTCATTTATGTACATAGCGTGCCAAGATGAAGCACTGCTGAAAGTACTTAATCAGGCAGACTTTGTTAGACAGCCGATACAAGCATCAAAATACAAGTACAGTCTTCACATGCAGGCAGTTTTGGAACAAGTTATATGCATTTAAAAAAAAAAAAAAGAATAGCTTGTGCATCCCAAGAAAGAAGTTCAACGAATAGAATAGTCATTCGCTAATGCCTTTTGCATATCCACCTTATTTTGGTTGGGCAAAGATCAATTCCCACAGTCACCTGTTGCATCATGAAATTAAACCTAAGCTATGTAGCATTTACTGATGTTCTTATGCAATAAAAAGAACAATCACTGAGTAACATGATAGCAGTACTTAACATAGTGTTTTACTTTTGCAAAAAATGAGCAAACATTAACTAGCTAATCACTATGGCTGCTTACAGACCTGAAACACCACCCCACCAGCACGTTACCTTTAGTTCGGCAGACCCCTGCACCATATGCAGCTCGCCCAACTTTTGTATAGATCGCACACTTCAGCAGGGCTTTTCGGCACTTTTGTCTAATAGCTGATTGATTCAGTTATTAGATAAAAGCACCAAAAAGCTTTGCTGATGCTGCCAACCTAAACAGACAAAGAGTAGCCGGGTCAAACTGATGCTCTTCCTCTCCCCTTAAAGGGCTCTTTTCCCACCCCCCATGTCTGCCAATGACCAATGCGAGTTTATCTTTGGCAAGCAGACTACAGGAGATGACTTGGTGACCTTGCACTGTTGCATACCTATTACCACAGATTCTGCTATCACCACTGAGATCAGAACTTCATGGAAGTCAAGCAACAAATTGAAATTCCTGATATTTTCAGACTCAGCAGCTCTGTTCAGAAACCTCACCCCAGTATTTAGAAACTAACCAGATGTTTGTAGCAAAGACAAACCAGCTGCCACTTGATCATATTGTGAATAGAATGGCTCTCTCCATTTCTTTTTCTAGTACAGGGAACATCACTGTGGTAGTACACATTGAGAAAGTGTAGCTTAGAGGAAATGCGTTTCATTAGGGAAGATGTCTTTAAAGATAAAAATTATAGCTGTGGGCCTTTTTCAGAAGAAATGGAAAGCTTGTACTCTAATGTTTCCATGGAAGCAGAGTTTAACCATGTGAAAAAATTGCATGAACTCTGTTAGGCTCCTTCATTTAACCAAGAGTGAGGTCTTGGATTTCACAAATTAGTTTCCAGTTGTCAACAAAATGGGCGTGCAGAGGGATTAGAACAAGTTTATACCAATGACACCTCATGATCCAGGGGCTACTTTGGAAATCCTTGCCATTGTGTTCCTTACAGGGGTGTAGGTTGTAGCTGTGTTGGTCTAAGGACAGTGAAGATATACATTGAGGAGTCAGTGGGTAAGAGACAGGCTGGGGGGTGGGGAGAGGGGAGAAGGGGGATGAATGTAGTAGGTTAATAGTGGAGAGGTACCTGATGCATTGAAGGATTCAATGCACCAAATGCCCTGATGGAAAATACATAGAAGAGACCAAACAACAACTGTGCACCAGAATGAACACACACCAGAAATCTGATATCAAAGACAAAAATACTCAATTACCAGTGGGGGCACACTTCTGACAAGAAAACCACTCTCTCTCCACTCTCTCAGTTCTAGTACTCAAAGGGATCTTACAAAACACTTTTCACAGATGAGCCTATGAACTTCACTTTATCAACCTCCTGGATACAAAAAATGGACTAAATATAAACATTGGATTTATGAGACAACCTACCTGAAATCTGATTCTCCAGGTACCTCTCCACTATTTACCTGTTACGTTCATCCCCCTTCTCCCCCCACCCCACCCCACAAGCCTGTGTCTCACCCACTGACTCCTCAACTTACATCTTCACTGACTGCCTGTTTTGCATGCAGCACAGCCTCTGGCTTCCTTACTATTTATTCCACCCAGGAAGAGCATGCACCAACTGCAGAGGCTTCCTCAGCCTGACGAAGGGTTTTTAAACCCGAAAGCTTGCTAAGAACATTTATTTCCAATTATTTCAGTTGGTTTAATAAAAGATATCAGATTCACCCTATGTTCCTTAGGTTTTTTTGCTGACCATGATGGTTGACATTAAAAATTGACAGTTGCAGACTAAAAACATTTGCTTCATACAAAAGTATTATTTGGCATTCTCTACACTGTGGAAGCAAGCAACATTTTTTATAGTGGAATATAAATCAAGAAAAGTTAGTTATCAGCATACATTTTAGAATGAGAAACTATAATCCAGTGTTGTATCCTTGTTAATTTTGGGACAATTTCTGATTGACCCTGGGGACTCTGACAGATCATGAATTTCCACTCGGAATGTAGGGTTGTCAGTCTTCAATTTAAATTTTTTTTTTTTTTTTTTTTTTTAGTTTTAGTTTTTTAATTTTTTATTTAATTTTAGCTCCCCCACTATATTACAATTCCAAGGGACGGTGATAAAGAATGAACTGGGGGGGGAGCATTAAACATTAATGATCCTCTATTCACATGGAAGCTCCTTTGGACAAAGAGCTGCCTACCAACCAGGGTAAGTCAACTTTTCAAGTCTGATTTCTGAGGAAGAAACTGCACAACAGGTCATCTGATGACGTTTAACTGGTCATCTGACAAAGGGGATCTGAAATTATAAAAAGGCTTCTCGCAAGAGCTAAAAAAGAGAGAGGAAGAAGACGACTAGAAGCAGAAGTGAAAGAAGACTCCATGCTTTGGTGAAAAAGCCATGTACTGGAGAAAGTTGTGAAATTTATGCTAAGAAGAGTTTATTGTTGCCGGGACACCTTGAGGGTCTCTGATCTAAGGCCAAAGCAGCAGAGATGAAACTAAGGTAAGGAAAGGTGTGTAGGCATTCGTTATTTTGCTTCAATATGCATTATTTCCAATGTTAAGAAAAGTATAGTGCTATAAGTTTTTGGAACTTACAAAATCTAAATTGATTTGCATCTGTTGTCCCATGTCCTTAACAAAATGAACATCTAACTGGGAGAACAAGACAGGCTGGACAAATTCTTTCTTTCCCCACCCCAATAAAGGCAAAATTCAACCTTTGTTTTAAGGGCGGACTAGTGTATCTCATTAATGTCTAATGGAAGTCCATACACTTAAATCTATGTTCTTTTGAGCACTATTGCTCTTTTAATTGTGTTCCTTTTCCTAAGTTTCTTAAGTTTCCTTTAGGCTGCAAGTAGGAGAGGAACAGTGGAAGAAACCCTGGTCATATTCTGTTCATTCTCTATTTCAGCATCCACTGTTTGCCACTGTGTGACATGGGATACTAGGCAAAATGGATCTGTAGCCCAGTTAATAGGAGTTCTTATTTTCTTAACAGCAGAATAGAAAAGAATCTGCTCACAAAGTTGACCATGTGTCAGAAAAGAGAAAAATGAGGTCTAAATAATTGATAGCACATGGCTAGAATATTCACTGTACATGAGACCACCTCCTACTGTTTATCATCTCACACATCAGTGAAGTGACTGGAGATTTATCACTGCATGGAGATAACACAGAATGCTTTGGTAACCACACCACATGTGACCTATCATTGACATTAAGTCTGGAGGTAGTAAAGCCAAGAACTAATTGAGTGAAAGATGCCCTGTTTATCTTACCACAGGGAAAAAACTAGAGGGGCCTTTTGAAAAGGAAACAAAAAACAAAATCAAAGTAAAACAAGAAACACCTCACAGTTTTTTTTCTCTACTTTGTTCTGTCTTTTGCTGTGCCACTCCAAACCCCTTTCCCAGCCTGATCTGAAGCTCTGCTTTCTGTTATCTGCCATGTGCTCCCTGCCCAATCTGCTACCAGCCACTGTGCTGCCTGTCCCCTCCCTGGTCTCTGCCACATGCCACACACACAGGCTGCCCATGTCACTCATTGCAAACGTGCTGCAAGTTGGCCACCTGTCTTAAGACTTTAAACCAGGGATGGGCAATTATTTCGACTGGAGGGCTGCTTAAGGACTTGTCCCAATTTATGTGTGTTTGCATAGTGTATATAGAGGTAATTGCATAATAGCTCAAAATAAAGCCTTACTCTTGTATATGGCGGGGGGAGGATGTGGAAGTGTGTGGGGTCTGTGGGTCAGTGCGCCCCCCCACGCCATGTGCCCCTCCCCATGTGCACATCCCCTGCTGCTAGTAGCAGCAGCAGCAGCACCAGAAAGCAGTGCATGGTTCTGGCCAAGTCCCCAGACTGCTGGCACATGCCTTTGGACCAGACCGGGTTAGCTCCATGACAGCACATGGGGCTCATGGCACTGCAGGTGGGGACCACATGCCATTGGACTGGGCCAGCTCCATGCCTTCACATGGGGCTCCCAGCACTCCAGTAGGGAGCTGCACGTGGAGGAGACATGGAGCCCGCCCAATCTGATGGTGCACGACACCCCTCAGCTCCGGTCTGCACACCGTCAGGCTGGGCAGGCTCTGTGAGAATGAGACATTTCTAAGCCACAGAGAAGAAGCTAGGCAGGTTTGGAAAGGAAATGTTCTCTTATAAAGATGTCTGAAGAATTAAAGAGCTGGAAAATTGCCAAGTCAACAGATCTCAACTATGCAGCTTTGTCACAATGAACATGCATTTTTAACTGGACATTCTTTCCAGCTGAGACTTGTAGGAGGTTAAAGGTGTTTGGTGCCCAATGTTCATTACATTCGCCAAGGTTTTTAGAGCTTAAATCCCTTGGCTTCATTTGAACAAATCACAGCCTTAAAGCCAGAGGATGTCAAACCAAGGCATTTGGGAAATACAATTTGGCTTTGGAATAGGTAAACGCCTCTTCAGTGACAAGCAGGCCACTGAGAAATTACAATTTCCATGAGCTACAAGACAAAGCCAGCTATACAAACAGAGTAGTGCTGGAGTAATGGTTTAAAACAGGGGTCAGCAGCCCCCGCCATGCATGCTGAGCATGACATGCAAAGTCATTTTGCTCGGCACACCACCATCAGCCCAGGGTCTAAGCAGCTGCTGCCAGCCATGGAGCTCAGGGTGCTCCCAGCAAGCAGCTGGGAGGCTGCAAGCAGACTGGGCCCCATGGGCCGGCTGCAGCTGGGAGGCTGCACACAGCTGCTCCAGGCTCCAACATATCGGCACTCCAGCACCTTCCAAGGTAGACATTGTAGTTTTTTGGCACTATGGCCAAAAAACATTGCCTACCCCGGTCTAGAATATATACAAGAGGCAGGATTTTTGTGGGTGATACCTTTTAGTGGACCAACTGCATGGTTGGAATAGACTTAAACAAGCTTTCTAATATGCATTCTTCAGGTAGACTGTTTTTATTTTTTTTCTGCATCTGCTGTTTCCTCAGACCTGAAGAATGCATTACATTCAAAATTTTGTCTAAGTTTCTCAACCACACACTTTGTCCAATTAAAAAAAAATCACCCACAGAAATCTTTGCCTCTATGCAGAGCTCATTGTAGTTATTGTATAACAGCCATGCAAACTGCAGCCTGAAAAGTGTGTTAAATATTGTGCTTTGCAATAACAGCAATGTGCCTTCACAATCACAAGACCAGGTTGTAAATTCATTGTGGGTAAGGACTGAGAGTGTCTCAGCCATCCAGACCTGCACAGACTATCAGAATTCAATAATTAATACATATACCATTTATGGCATAACTTTTTAAATTATTATCAACTCAGCAGTACTTTTCCTTGCTTTAGGCAACTGAACATACTCCTTCCATTCTTCTTTACTGACACCTTTGAGCTCCTTGACTGGCATCTCTGCCTAGAGACCACCAGCATGCAATGGATCTTGATTGGGTCAGGTGAGCATATGATCCTGACCTTGATGAATTGGAAGCTTTTTCTGTACAACACCTACTACAGAGTCTGTTCCTTAGTGCTTTTGATCCACATCTCCCTTCAAGTATTATGAAGACTGGTTCCAGACTACTATTCCACCCCTCCAACTATCCAGCTTTGAGCCCTTCCACCTGACCATACATTTTGCATTTTCATAGATTCATAGATGTTGGGGTCAGAAGGGACCTCAATAGATCATCGAGTCCGACCCCCTGCATAGGCAGGAAAAAATGCTGAGGCGTGATTACACCCGGGTGGGGGAGAGCACCACCTCCCTTGGGAGCCCGTTTCAGACCTTGGCCACTCGAACTGTGAAGAAGTTCTTCCTAATGTCCAGTCTAAATCTGCTCTCTGCTAGCTTGTGGCTATTATTTCTTGTAACCCCCAGGGGCGCCTTGGTGAGTAAAGCCTCACCAATTCCCTTCTGTGCCCCCGTGATGAACTTATAGGCAGCCACAAGGTCGCCTCTCAACCTTCTCTTGCGGAGGCTGAAGAGGTTCAGGTGCCCTAGTCTCTTCTAGTAGGGCTTGGCCTGCAAGCCCTTAACCATACGTGTGGCCCTTCTCTGGACCCTCTCCAGGTTATCCACATCCCTCTTGAAGTGCGGCACCCAAAATTGCATGCAGTAGTCCAACTGCGGTCTGACCAGCGCCTGATAGAGGGGAAGTATCACCTCCTTGGTTCTGTTCGTGATGCATCTGCTGATGGTTTTCTATGGTTGTAAAAGGCAATCCTTATTACAGAATTTTTAGACATTGTTTCTATTACTGTGCAATAGCAAAGTGTGAGGTAGAGACTGGGAAGGGCGCTATAGTATGAATACAAGATTTCAGTACCAGTCTGTGTTGCATGGCTCAAAATGTTAGATGATCCAATATTTATGCTTCTTGGGAACATGCCAATATGCTGCTAGCTACCTATGCATTCCAGCATATTGGACAAACATCCACTTTGCCAGAGCATAATAAGAACATTTTTGTTCAGACAAAGCTAAATTTTGAGGTAGCTGCCAAATAGAACTCCACCGTCTGAATATCATCCAAAATACTTACTTACCAAATATGAGTATGGACAACATGAGAGACAGTGAAGAGGTTAATTTTGTAACAGAGTTATTTTGGATATCTAACAGACTGCAGAGCCTGATTATTCTTGCAGTTTTAGGAAAAAAAAATCCTATTTCAAAATTCATACCAAAATCTCAAAATGTTTCAGAGCAAGAAAGCCATGTGGGCTATTTATATATGAAGTCTTGCCATTCTGATATCGGACATATCCATTATTACAAAGTAGAGCTTTCTACCCTCAAATACATGACTCAGCTAAACAAAACAAAAAATACAGAAGAGAAACCCTTGGATCAAGTAATGATTGAGTCTGAAGCCTTGGAGGGTTTAGTTCAATCTTCAGGAGCATTTCAAGATCCCAGAGGCAGGCCAGCGTTTGATTATTTGTCTAGTCCTCATGAGACTTCTGACAACTGTTTGCACCACAGACTGACCTCTGGATCCAATACCTGTCAGTTTGTGTATTAAATCTTAAAACTAAAAGTTTGACTCCTTGCCATATTAAATTTCATGAGTGCAGTAAAGGATAATCCAAGTCACAGGCAAGTTACACTAAAAATTAGTTTCCAGAAGAACTGGAAAACTCTGGGAAGTCATTAAAAAACCCCAAAACACAAATTCCCTGACATGTTAGAGTATTTGGCAACTTCTTGACAGTGCAGCTTTCTATGTTACCTTCCCTTTGTTAGAGGGCAGATGAAACATGGTGAAAGAAACATCCTCTGCTCTGCTTCTCCCTTCACAAAATCTCCACATAGCCATAACAATTCATAAAGTAGCTGTCCCAATGAATCAAGAACCTTGGTTTGTTCCATCTCACTATACAGGCTACCTGTAAACTGGCCCCAAAGACCCTGGCATAGATCTAAATTGTAAATTAAGGAGTCCGGTAGGTAAGTTAAAGTAGAATTGAGAATTGAGAAACTGGATACCTTCAAGTCAGCAGGCCCTGACAATCTTCACCCCAGGGTACTCAAGGAGCTGGCGAGCATCATAGCCCAGCCTCTAGCACGGATCTTTGAAAACTCTTGGCGCCCTGGTGTAGTGCCCGAAGACTGGAAGAAGGCCAATGTGGTGCCTATCTTCAAGAAAGGGAGGAAAGTGGATCCGGCTAACTATAGGCCCATTAGCCTGACTTCTATCCCGGGGAAGATCTTAGAAAAGTTTATTAAAGAGGCCATCCTTAATGGACTGGCCGACGCCAACATCTTAAGGGATAGCCAGCACGGGTTTGTTGCAGTTAGGTCTTGCTTGACCAATCTCATTTCCTTCTACGACCAGGTGACCTATCACCTGGACAAGGGAGAAGAGATTGATATCATATATCTTGACTTCAAAAAAGCCTTCGATCCGGTTTCCCATGATCACCTCTTGGAGAAACTGGCCAATTGTCGCCTTGGGTCCTCCACGATCCACTGGCTGGAAAGTTGGCTCTGGGGTCGGACCCAGAGGGTAGTAATCGATGGAAGTCACTCATCGTGGTGTCCTGTGACCAGTGGGGTCCCCCAAGGCTCTGTCCTTGGACCCATACTGTCCAACATCTTCATTAATGATGTGGACACTGGAGTCAGAAGCGGACTGGCCAAGTTCGCTGATGAGATGACACCAACCTCTGGGGCAAAGCATCCACACCAGAAGACAGGCGGGCGATCCAGGCTGACCTGGACAGGCTCAGCAAGTGGGCGGACGAGAATCTGATGGTGTTCAACGCCGATAAATGCAAGGTTCTCCACCTTGGGAAAAAAAACCCGCAGCATCCTTATAGGCTCGGCAGTGCTATGTTGGCTAGCACTATGGAAGAAAGAGACTTGGGGGTCATCATTGACCACAAGATGAACATGAGCCTGCAATGCGATGCGGCGGCTAGTAAAGCGACCAAAACGCTGGCTTGCATCCATAGATGCTTCTCAAGCAAATCCCGGGACGTCATTCTCCCCCTGTACTCGGCCTTAGTGAGGCCGCAGCTGGAGTACTGTGTCCAGTTTTGGGCTCCACAATTCAAAAAGGATGTGGAGAAGCTTGAGAGAGTCCAGAGAAGAGCCACGCGCATGATCAGAGGTCAGGGAAGCAGACCCTACGATGACAGGCTGAGAGCCCTGGGGCTCTTTAGCCTGAAAAAGCGCAGGCTCAGGGGTGATCTGATGGCCACCTACAAGCTGCCACCGGAGGTGGTTCAAGCGCCTACATTGAACACCTTCAAGAGCAAACTGGATGCTTATCTTGCTGGGATCCTATGAACCCAGCTGACTTCCTGCCCTTTGGGCAGGGGGCTGGACTCGATGATCTTCCGAGGTCCCTTCCAGCCCTAATGCCTATGAAATCTATGAATTAACTCACACCCTCATTGAAGAAGGTATTGCAAGGGTGGGCCAAATGTGGCCCACAGGCAGGTACCAACCAATTAATTGCATCAGGCCCCGCCCGCAGCTGCCCCTGCTGCACTCTGCATGGGGCCAAGTCCCACCCAGGGCAGTGTGTGTTGCTCCCAGCCTCCCTTGCCAGCAGGCACAGTTTCTGAGCAGGGCTCCTGCTACTGCTGCCACCCAGGGAGCTGCTGGGCTCCCCCAGCCTCCAGTGACTCCTCCTGTCCCTGCTGCAGTGGTCCCAGCAGCAGGTAGGGAGGAAGAAGCTGAACCATCAAGGGGAGCAGGATGGGCTCTGCCTGCAGCTTGCTTTGGTCCTGCTTGTGCGGGCCAGAGGAGCATGTGGAGGGGGAGGCGTGAAGAAGTCTGGCTGCTCACAAAGCCCTGCAGGGCAGGCACAGGACAGGCAGGAGGAGGGAGCAGCAGCAGAAGTCAATGTACACTTGGTGTAGCCCCATCAGGCAGGCACATGAGATAGAAGCAACAGCAGCAGGAGCCAGTGCAGGCTCAGTTGCAGCCCTGCTGGGTAGGTGTGGGACGGAGACCAAGAGAGCTGGCGGTGCCAGACTCAGCTCCCTGCCCCACTCCCCTTTTGCAGGGGCTTCTGTTGCTGCCCATGGGCAGCAGCTGCTTTCCTGCCCTTGCAGCATGTTGGGAGCCAGGCAGGTAGTGCCAACCCCCTTCCCCCACCCTGCCTGCAGAGGGGCTGGACTAAGCCATATCACAAAGAGCGGGAAGGGGGGAAGTCCCCCATATGCACACACCCAACCTACCCACACTCACTATACCCAGCACACACACCCAACATTGTCCCGTACACCCCACACCGCAACCACATACCCCCACTATACCCACAGACACACCCCACAGCAATCCAGCACCCTTATACCTCCCCACAGATGCACCCACATCCCATCACACCTACACACACCCATCTCTTCCACACACCCCACACCCCAACCACACACCCCATGCCCCCACACACATCCACATATACACCCCATACACACCCTCCACACCTATCTTACCCCCCTACCATACCCACACATACACCCAGCAGCCCCCCACCCCCCAAACTACCTATCTCCAACCACACCCCCCCTCGCCTTACATACAACACAAGCAATTCCAGCCCCACAGGAGTACTCCTGGGCAAGGGAAGAGACTTCCAGTGGCAAAGGTCAGGGGTCACAAGACAGCAACCAGGGGACGGGCCACCCTTGAAGCCCTCAACGCCTTACCAAAACTCATTAAGCAGCCCTCCAGCTGAAATAGTTGCCTGCCCCTGAAGCAGAGTGATCCCTAAAACTGACATTATAACATCAAGTCTACAGGCGATATAGCAACAAAGTCCCTTTTTAAGCGTCTTGTGGACAACCTGTCAGTTCTCCACTCCACTCCAGGTTTTGGACTAGAGAAAGGCCAATGAATCATTAGCAGTGGCTACTGAAGAATTAAGTGAATCGAGTTCAGAATATTAGCAGAGTTTCTGCATTTCTATTTTAAAGGTGGGAAGGGCAGGGGGAAGAAACA